GTTTGAGGCTGCACGAACGTCTTGGAGGTGGCAGCCAGTGCATCGACTATGCCAACACCAACTTCCAGCTGCTCACGCAGCAAAACCAACAGCTCATCCAGGAGATCAACCAAATGCACGCGCGCACCGTGGAGAACGAGCAGCTCTACCGACAGGCCGATACCCATTGGCAGCAGCGCATACTGGAGGGCCAGGGTCACCTGCCGCTGCCGCTGCTCAAGCCACGGATGCAGTGGCTGCTGCAGCGCATCGATCGTGGTGCACAGCTGGCCATACGCCAGCTCCAGGGCTGGGCGACGAGCAGCGGACCTTTGAACTTTCTGTACCTCAGCCTACAGCACATACTGGACGACGACCCGGAGGCACGGAAGCTGCTCGCCGAACTGGATCGCAAGCTGGAGGCGGTGCTGGACAACATGCTGGAGCAGGCCGGCGAGCGTCGAGAGAACAATGTGCGCGTGCTTTACGACAAGCTGTTCCAGCAGCAGCAGGAGGCGCTGATCACCAAGCAGCAGCTGCTCCACCACGAGCAGCGGGCGCTGGTGCTGGCGCGACAGCAGCTGCAGGTGCACGTGCAGGATCTGAAGCAACGCGAGGAAATCTTCTGGGACCAGGCGGCTGCCTCGCCCTACTACTCAACTCAGTCCAGAGCGATCAGCTACAACAAGGCGGAAACCATGCGCAGCACCAAAACCCAAACGAATAGCGACACATTCGATGCCGACAGCTACAGCGGCAGCGACTTCTGTGGCTGCGACGACTGCCAGCCCGGGCCCGAGCTCGGGCAGTTGAGCAACCCAGCCGACCTGATGGACACATGCGACAAGCGCAGCTGCCAGTACTGCCAGTCGCAGCGCCCAAAGGACAGCGAGTCCAGCAGCAAATGCTAAATTGTCCCCAAATAACTTGACTTTCCCTATCTATGTGTATATAGTATGTAGATAAATATATTTTCTATTCCTGCCAACAACTTGGTAAGTTGCTCAATACTTGCGTCTCTGTGTGTGTGTATGTGTGTGTGGCTGTCAATTGCCAGGAACTGGACTCGCCAAAGTTTTAATGTAGTTTTAATTTGCTCGTAAGCACTGGAAACTTGGCCGGAATAACTAAAAAAAAAAAGTAAAAGGCAAGTGCAAAACTTGCCTCGCAACAACAACAACAACAACAGCAGCAACAGCTTTGCTCGTAATTAGTTTTTAAGCGCTGTGTGTGAGTGTGCTTCTGTGTGTGTGGCATTAGATATGACAGCATGATGCAGTTAAGCACTTCTTAACGACGACAATGCTGCTGGCCTGGCTGCCTGGTGTGTGGCTGCCGATAATGGCGCAAGTATAATAAGTGCAATTGATTTTCTTGCCAAGTTTCCACAAGTTGCGGCAGTTGGTGCCAGGCCAAATGCAACCGGATTGTAGTTTACTGCTGCACAGTGTCTTCATTAGAGACCAATACAGTGGTGTCTGCATTATTAGTCATAGCTGCTGTGATGTCCAGGTATATATGATATAGAACTGCAGCCTTGTTCCGGATCAATCAACTGCAGCGGTGTCTCACAGTTGCTTCAATTTCATATTCATTATAGAAGTCTTATTCAACATCTTCCGCTTTCAGGTATTTACGAGCTTAGCTGGCTCAAAGAGCAACCGCAATTTTGGGTTAAATATTGCTATAGCCCTCTGGCTGCGCTTAAAAGTCTACTACAAAGGGCTGGCTTAGCTTCATCCATTGTTTGATTTTAGTTGTTGCGCGGTAAAGCTTGCTATGAAAATTGCAAAACACACAAAGGTCTGCTGCACTTGCAAAAGCAAGCTACATTTTTCAAATAAAATGCTCCATCGTTAAACTCATATTAATAAAGGCGAACTGACATTCATACATAACTACTGTGTGCTTACAAAGGTGTTTACTTCACATGCATGACGGCAACATTTTAATATCCTTTGCAGAGCACATAAAATAATAAGAAATACAACGAGCTCAAGTAACAGGACTGACGTGCACGTTTCTATATATGTATGTATATGTCTATATATATATATAGATAAAACAAACAGCGCGTCCAAGTTCAAACGTTCAACATCCGCTGACGATAGCAAAAATACAGTTTTCTAACATTTGTTGGCAAAGTGTGGCGAACATTTTATGAAATTTGATAATAAGTACATGATGGTTGACTGAACTTCAAGCGACCCAGTCATACATATTTGCAACGAAAACAAAAAACAGCAAAAAGTATATATGTAAAAATAACAGGAATCAAGTAAACTGTATAAAAGTTGTGGCTGCAAAAAAGTTGCAAAGCAAATGCAGCTGCCATACCCCAAGACTCCGCTGAATGACAATAGCTCAAAATATGTAAGACCAACTGTCGAAGTGAAGCGCGGCGAAAAGCACGAATAAAGAATGCGGCGAAAACAGGAAAGCAAAAAAGTGTGTGAAAAGTTTTCGTTCTTCGCTTTAATGATGCGCACAGACAGCGAAAACTTCGCTCAGACAGCAGAGGCTTACCGGCTCTGTGTTGGATGTAAGCAGGGGAGCAGGGGGAGCAGAGGGAGCAGGACTCTCTGAGCCATAAACATAAAGTTTGAGTTGTGGCTTTCGTTGGTGGGTGGCGGGCATTAGCGACATAAAATTAATGACAAATTTGCGAGCTTATGCGAATGCATTGTTCCCAAAACAATTTCTGACTATTAAGCGCAGAGTGCAGCGAGAGCGGGGCATGGCGGAAAGGAGAGCAAAATATGTATGACAAAAGTGAAAAGTCGCCAAGGCAGCTTCACGCTGAAGGCAAAATTTATGTGCGCAGCAAACCCCAAGCAATTACGCCAAAGACTTAGTTGCCTTTTTTGTGCGTGACAAAAAGCAAAGGAGCAGCCGCAATGAGGGGGAGGTGGGCAGGACAGCATCTGTGACCAGCAAGGACCACAACTTTCATTTTACTGTTAAAATGCTCAACAAAAGTTGCATTTTCGCTCTGCTCCTGCCAAAAAGCGAAGAAGCAAAGTGCACTACATAGCCATTATAATGGAGCAGCAGCAGCCAGAGTTTCAGTTAGAGAAGAGCACTATTTTACTAATGCAATACGATACGGCACGAGTCTCATCCAGTGTTAGTGCCTAACATTTCTTTTCTTCTGACGGTCCCCATGTAAAGGGCAACACGCTCTCATCTCTATAGTGTTGCAGTGGCCACTGCAGTCGTAGCTAGAGATGTGCAAGACTCTTCTAATACGATACAATACATATGTATGCATGTTTGTGAAGATCAACAACGTCGTGTTTGTTCGCATAAGACCAGCAGCAAATCACGGAGCATGCTCATCTCTATTCAAAGCGTAACTGCTGGAGTTGAAAATGGGCTGCTTGTTGCATTTATCACATTTTGCACATCTCCGGACAGAGGCAACAACGCTTAATGGCTTTCTGCTGCCAATGCAGAAGCTGTGGCTGACAACTTTCCTTGGCCAGTTTTCTTAGTGCCCACACCCCATGAGACTGGAGACGGAGCAGTTGCTTATTGTGGCTTAAAAGTGGTTGTTAGAATGCGGCCACCAGAAAATTACACTACTTTCTATGGAACATATTCACTATATTTACTTTATATATATACACACAATTACATGGCCTCTTTCTGGCTAAAGTGTCGCTTGGCAAAGGTCTCGCCCACAATAAGGGGAAACACCAAAGTGGCCTCGGCATACACCTTGACGGGCGTTGCATCTTTGCGTATCTTGCCCCAGGATACCGCTTCATCCGGTCGTGCACCACTGTCACTGCCATCAAACTCAGAAGCTGTGTTTATGAAAACAGAATAATCGGCTCCATTACGCATAAGATTAGCGTTGCAAATGTGGTGCTTTATGATGCCGCCACCCACAATAATCATGCCACTATTAACAGCTTTGACAGCCATCGTGTTGAGCCTGCGCAGATCCGACAATATGTCCACAACCAGGCCCGGGTGACGGAACGAATGAAAGTACATCATGTCGCCAAGGCTTCCATCGGTTAGCGCTGGACAAAACACGGGTATCTTGTTTTTAGCAGCCCAATAGTAGATAGAGCTCGGATTTGCGATTCGCTCGCCCAGCCTGTGGATGATGCGTGAGGGTGACCAGACCGTGCCCTTGCTCTCCTGTTCCTCTAGCATTTCATCGAGCAGCGGCATTAGCCAATCCTCAAACTTGCAGTAGTTGTCATTGGGCACCAGCAGATTGCCAATGCGATTGATGCCGCGCTCTCGCAGCTGGCTTCCACTTAACTCGAATGAGCCCATAAATGTGGGTGCCAGGCATTTGATAAAATCCTCCTCCACGCCTCCAGCTGTCGTCACAATACAGTCGACCATCCGATGCTCGGCAAGGAAACGCAACGTCTCCCGTAAGCCCGACGATACCAAGTTTGAAGTGTAGCCCAGAAATATAGTGCACTTCGTGTTGCGTTTGATGAACTCGTCCGTCTCGTGGACATCCTGCTGCTCACCGTCTAGTGGCTGAGCCCTGCAATCCAACTGTCCTTCTTTAGTATAATGTGATGCCCAATACATATAATTACTTACCATTTTATTGATTTCCTTTATGGCCAGGCCCAAATTTGTGGCCTGGAAGCCGGTGCTCCCATAGGATTCGAGCAGCTTGCTATAGTTGACGCCCAAATTGAAATCATATCCATGCACTTGTGGCGTGTCCTCCGAAAGGCGTTCGCTACGCTTGAGCACAGCATCCTTCGCTATTTCAGGCTCTGTGGACATCTTAAATTAAATGTTTTCGTTTTTGCGCGTCTCACCTAACATGTGCAAAATAATGATATCGATACAACTATCGATATGCAGAAGTAGGCTATTTAATATTTTCTTCATTTTAATTAGTCGTATTTGGCTTATCTGTTTATGCATCGAGAAACACTGTGATGCAATTATTTTTGTTTTTAATAGAAAATTTTATAAAAACTTAAGTGAGCTGACAACCCTTTTTGCGTGTATCGACTATTAAATTAACGATAGTAACATCGATAGTTTTTGCTGCGCTACCTTGAATGACAGGCAGAGAAACTGAGAGCTAAAAAGTAAGAAGAAGCAAGCTCTTGAAACTACCAACAACCAAAATTTTAAGGTACGATACAACATTTTTAAACGTTGCTAAAGAATTCCAAATATGATCACAATTTAATACGCACAAAAGCAGAAGCAACAAGCCAGCAATCAACTGCGAAGCGAAACGCTCAACACACAGTGAAGTGGAAGCTGTAGACGAACGACGCGAGCAAGCGGCCAAGCAGGCAAACAAATACATATAGAAAAAAAAATGATTAAACTTTTCTCGCTGAAACAACAAAAAAAGGATGGAGATCAGACGGCACGCGGTGGCCAGCAGAAAAAGGCATCAGCTGCCCAGCTGCGCATACAAAAAGGTAAAAGTCGTGAACTATTTGGCGCCCATGACTTTAGTTTCGTTTTCATTATAATATATGTATATATGCATATGTATGTATATTATGTATATTTATACATTCTACATTGTTAATACAAATGAAATATTCATATTTTTAGATATTAACGAACTGAACCTGCCAAAAACTTGTGTCACGGAGTTTCCAGACAGCGATGACTTGCTAAACTTCAAATTGATTATATCCCCCGACGAGGGCTTCTATAAAGACGGGCGATTTGTGTTCAATTTTCGCGTGGGGTCCAATTATCCGCACGAGCCGCCAAAGGTGAAATGCGCCACACAGGTGTATCATCCGAACATCGATCTAGAGGGCAATGTGTGTTTGAACATTTTACGCGAGGACTGGAATCCAGTGCTGACCATCAATTCCATTGTCTATGGCTTGCAATTTCTGTTCTTGGTAACGAATTCACTCTCAAGCAAATATCTTTGGATTGAGATTTGACTACAAAGTTGTCTTCTCTTTTTAGGAACCCAATCCTGAGGATCCCCTAAATAAGGAAGCCGCCGATGTGCTGCAAAGCAATCGACGCCAATTTGAGTATAATGTTAAGAAGGCAATGCGCGGCGGTTGCGTTGGCGAGACTTTCTTTGAATGCTGTCTCAAGTGATATATAGGAAATGAAAACTCTATTATTTAAGTACCGGCATCTGCCTGCCTGCTCTGTTGTTGCTGCTGCTGCTGCCGCTGCCGATACCGCTGCCCCGCTCCACTGACTCAATGATGAATGCACTTTTAATAGTTCAACACAAGCAACACACGTAGGAGAGGAGGGCAACCAACAAGCCACAGCAACGACAACAACAACAACAGTAGTAACGATAACAACACCAACAACAGGCAGCAATTGGCCGCAATGACAAAAACAGCAACAACAACAACAAATTATCGTAATAAAACAAAAATTTACCACTGCGAACCGAAAAAAAACAAATGCGAGTCGAGTCAACAATTTGTTTTTAGTCTAAAGCCAACATTATTATAATTATAAAATTTGTCATCATGTTTGTAATTGCATTCGAGGGAGATAAAGAGCAAAGATGAAAGAAGATATAAAAAATGAAAAAAAAAAAAAAAATAGAATTTCATGATTGATGCGTCATGAATGGTCATCAAGTAAATATTTTTAAACTGACCTACACTAAAGTAGAAAGAGGGAAACAGTAGATAGCTCTTTAGTCTATCTGAAAGCCCAAGGAAATGTTAAAATGTTGCCCGTTATTCTAATTGTATTTGCATGGCATAGAAAGAAGGATGTTGCAGTTTTATGTGTGTATTTAATGGAGGTTCGCTTTAGTTTCATTCAGGCCACTCTATTGACACCTGATCACAGGTGTATGCTGTTTCGCGCCAGCTGCATATTTCGCCACAGGCAGAGATCGGCCACGGCAGCTTGGCGACCGGTATGCAGACGCAGATCGTAGAGGCGGCTGATGAGACCGACGCGTATATCATCGGTGGCCAACACCTTGAGGAGCCGTTGCATCAGATTTGGCGGCAGCAGTCGCAACACAGGTGTCACACGCTCGCCGCCGCACTCCACCAGCAGCGAGATGAACTGGTAGACGAAGACGGCCTTGGGCGACAGCTCATCGCCGCTAACGAATTGCACAAAGACACGGAATATGTGTTTGATGCTCGCCTGGAGCGGCTCCTTGAGATTGGCTGGGGTGACGCGAAGCTCAGCGCTGGGCGCGCTTAGCAGTGCGACAACATTCGCTGCGTCGCCATCGGCGAAGTCATTGGAGTTGTCGCTGCCGTCGCCGATGACCTTGCGCACCTTCGCCGCATTCGCCACGCCCGTCATCTCGTCGTCGTCGTGGGAGCGCGAGCGCTTCTGTAGAGTGGAAGCAGCAGCGCTGCTTGAGCTGCGCGTCTCCAGACAGGAAATGATGCAGTAGACGCTCAGACGCGCCAGCACCAAAGACTGTGGCTCGTTGATGTCCTCGCTGCAGGGGCAAGAAGGCATGAAAACAGTTAGTACGGTAACTATAGACTACTGGATGTAGGCGAGACCCACCCTTGCCGTCTCAGGACCAATGGAGCCACGACGTACTGCAGCAACGCCTCGGTGGTGCGCTCTATATCCAGATGCATTACAGCAAACACAATGTCCATGCACTTGGCCATGTCGCGCATGTACTTGCAGCTCAGCAACTGCTCCACCAGCTGAGTGACCAGCCAGGAGGCACCGCCGGCCAGCAGCAGGGATTCCAGTGTCTGGGCTGCACGCACCGGCAGGTGTCCAGCCTCCGACACAATGCGCCAGCACTCACGAAACTGTTCGATCAACGGCGTGTGAGAAATGAGGCGTGACTTGGTATTGGGCGCTGGGTGCACATCGTGCTGCATTTTACGTATGATCTGATAGGAGAGCGCCAGCCGCTCCTTTGAGTTCTCCTGGCTGGACAGCTCCTCAGTGGTGAGTGGAGCCAGAAACTGTTGTATCATATTCAACGGCTTCAGCAGCTCTGTTTCGCGCACCGAGTACATGTAGGCGCACAGATATGAGGTGGCACACACAGAGAAGCTGAAGAGGCGACGCTTCATATTATCCAGAATGCTCTTCACATCCGCTGAGGATAAAGTTTCCTGCTCCCAGGCAATCAGCACATGATGCAGCACGCCTGGCAAGTTCAGGCATATGTCCTGCCATGTCAGGTTGCTTGGTTTCAGCTGTGCCGCTTCCGGTTTGCTCAAGCTCAAGAGCAGTTCGTCCACTATGCTGTCTTCGCAGAGGGCCAAGATCTGACGTGGATTCTTCAGCTTATTGCGCTCCATCATGCACGTACGAACCCACTTCTCGAAGAACGAATCGCAGCGCTCGGAGAGGACCACCTGAAAGACCCCTGAGTTAATTGACTGCACATAGAAGCTATCGGCACTGCTTACGTCCGAGCCATAGGTCTGCACAATGCTGGTGAGCATCAGAAAGGAAACATCGAACAGGGTGGAGCGCGTAATACACTGTTTGCCCAGTTCTCCGGGCACCTGCTTCGAGTTCTCATTGCACTGTATCAGGCGCGAGACAAAGGTCTTCAGACGTCCCTCCACTGTGGCCACCGATAGTATCAGCTCGAAGCTGTGCCCGACTGGCACATGGCAGAGCACATTCACCATGTCCTGCATCTTGTTGGTGCACAACGTTTTGAGCACCCCTGAAAGGGGCACCTCGGCTCGTTTGATGAAGTTGATATTGGAGGGCTTCTGCTGGCCATTGTCGCACTTCTTGAGCAGCAGCGAAGCGGCCTCCCTACAAGAGATGGTCATTAGTATAATAGCTACTTCCACCTCAAGTGGTCACTTACCGCTGGCTGGCGAACTTCTTGACGTGCACCTCATTGACTAGCTGCTGTTTGGTCCAGTCGTTGAGCAGGAACTCAATGATATTGCAGGAGCACTTGGTGTCCATAAAGTCCAGCAACAAATTGTCCTCGATCAGCAGCTCCAGTGCCTCCACCAGCTCGGGAATGTAGTCTGTGGCCGCCAGCTGCTGCTCGCCTGGCACCCGCTGCAGCGCATGCAGCTGTTTGATGATGTGCGGCATCTTGAAGAACATGAAGGCGCCCCACATGGTGTCCGGACTAGTGTCGGCCACGTTGCTGAGCGTGAGGAAGCCCGCGCGGATAATCTCATAGAACAAACGTGTATTCGTATAGCCCTTGAGGCGCTGCAGCATTTGCAGCTCGGCCACATAGTACGAGGTGTCCTTGCAGGGATTCAAGAGCACCTCCACAGCGAGCAATGGCTGCACACAGCACGAAATCTTCTCCAGACAGGGATTTGGACTCAGCATCTGCAGGTCCAGGTGCTTGGCATCAATGTAGGCCAATTGCTTGAGCTGCTGTTCAGCTGTGGCAGCGCTCAGCGTGAAGTTGGAGTTGGTGAGCGACGCCTTAATGCTGGCGTAGAGATCGTGCAGCCTGTCTAGCGACTCCGGCTCCTCGTGACAGCCCACATTCAACATGGCCAGCACGAACTGTTGCTGCGTAAGGTGCTCGATGAGCAGACAGCTCTGATCCAGCATATACGACAGCTCGGCGCTCAGCTCGCCGCGCATTTCATACTGCTGCAGAGTGCGCGAAAAGATCTGCATGACCCACATCACCAGCTGGACTACAGCTCCAGGCAGCAGCGCCTCCTCAGACTTGATGCTGGAAGGAGAGAAGATGTGAGAAGACGTAAGTGTGCCAGCTTTGACGTGCAATCAAGAGTAACTAACCGACAGGTGATGCCATCTATAATGCTGACCAGGAACTCCAGCAATGCCGTCACGCAGTAGACGCGATTCAGCTTGTCGTACTTGGCTATGCAGCGCAGCACCGCCGCATGGGAGACAAGATGTGCGCACAGCGAGTGCTTCAGATAGTTCAAGACCAGCTGCAAGAGAGAGGCCAATGAAGGATTAGAGATTCTATGGCACTACTTTCCCCATAAGCTTACCGAATTCGCCGTGGAGCCAATGACGGCCTGCTGCAGCAGGCACTCAGCCAGATTGTAAACATCGCCACTAACGCCGCGTGGGAGGACCTGAAAGCAAAATGGAATCCAGATCAGTTAAAGGCAAACTTGAAGTTATTCAATGTTTGATACATTTGGAAAATTATCTAAATTCAAGCAAGGCTAGGCAAGCCGGGGGCCAGTTGAGCTCTGTATCATTACAGTTTCAGACGCGTTGAAATGTAATTTTAATAAAATTTAGGGTACATAAACGCAATACAGACAAAAAGAAACTAAAAGCCTTAAAATACAATAATACAATACAAAAAGTTCCTTATACGTGATTCTAGCAATTTCTATATACCGCGTTGTTGCATCATGTTTCGTTTAAATTTGCAACGCTTTCAGATTTATTTCATGCACGGCCTAAGGTTATCCTGCAGGCGGCGGCCAAATCAATTGCTGAGCATCGGGTGTGCGGCCCATGGGGAGAAGGCGGCAGTGGGTGCCACTACGCTGTGGAGGCGTCTAATCAGCCAATATCAGTTTCGGGTCAAGAAGGAAGCCTACTATCCAGATCGTAAGTTAGAGATGCAGCGAACAGCAGTGTCGGCCAGGCAGATGCTGGCCATAAATCCGCAGCATCAGCAGCGAGGCCTGCCCAAGGACTACTACTACAGGGTGCTTGGCGTGAACAGACATGCCACCGTACAGCAAATTCGTAGCGCTTTCTATGCACTGGCCAAACGTTATCATCCGGACTCCATGCACTCTGAAGAGAAGCTGAAGCACTTTCAGGAACTCTCCAATGCTTACAATATACTAACGGACGAGACAAAACGTTTGGAATACGATCAGCTGGGTGGCATCAAGGATGAGAAGGCATTCCTAGCGCAGGCTGGCAATCCCATGAACATCGACCTGAGCAGCAAGAGATTTGAGGCAGTTTGCCAAAGTCCGGAGGGTGCGTACAATGGGTAACTAATTCTCGATTTGACTTTGACTCCTCTCATACAGATATCAAAAAATTAACTGTGGGCGAGTACGATTTACCATTGAGCTTTCTGGAGGCCACCGTCGGCTGCAAGAAGCGCATTGACTTGCGCTATTTGAGAAAATGTGAAAGCTGCAAGGGTAAGTCGCAGCTAATGGCCAATCGTGATCTGGGCAAGGAGCCGTGCCGACGCTGCAACGGCACTGGCAAGGTGACCACGAAAACGTTGACCTTCACTTCAGTGAATACGTGTAGTCAGTGTAAGGGCAAGCGTTACATCAATCGCAATGACTGCGACGCCTGCGACAACCGGGGCTTTGTAACGGGCAATGTCGAGGTTCTAATCACAGTGCCGTCCGGCTCCAAAACTGGAGATGTTATAACCGTCGACAATCCCAATACAAAGCAACGGGTCAAGTACACCCTACAGGTGCCTCAAAGTGATTACTTTCGTCGCGTCGGCAACGATATACACACAGACAAATTTCTAAACATTTCCGATGCTATTCTGGGTGGCAATTTCTTAGTGCGCGGCCTCTATGACAACGTCGAGCTGCGTGTCGAGCCCGGAACTCAGTCACACACGCAGGTGGTGCTGCACAACAAGGGCGTGCGGACACGTGATGGTGTGGGAAATCATATTATTACACTGAAGGTGCGTATTCCCTGCAATCTATCGATGAAGCAACGACAGCTTATCCTGGCGCTGGCTCAGTCGGAGGAGCCGGTGTTTGAATTCCACAAGGGAAGCAAGAAGGCAAAGGATTGAATGGCGTGTTTTTTTTCTATGTATATATACAAACCGTGTTCAAAAATTCTCAATGTAATACGCTTTTATCACTCTCATGTAAAGTTGAAATTTATAATATGACAATTTTAAATGTTCGTATCACCTTTTTTATGTTGATGCCCCACTGTGAGTCGGTCCAGCGTTCACGCCATGCAACGTTAATTAGCTGAAGGATTTTGTTGTCCTTCATGGCGCTCGAAGCGTTAGAACAAAATATTCACGTTATTGCTAAGCACAAAGTGTTTATTTCATTATATTTAGGACACAAGTCCAATAAACACTTATATGAAAGTATATCAAGAAGAAGCACTGTTTATATCTTTCACCCAAGCTGGTTGCAATTTCACGTTAGGGATGATGAGATATATCGATATGTTTATATATATCGATGTGCATATTTTTGCTATAATAATTTATCTGATGCGGATTTTTAATAAATGATTACTACCATTTAAAATAACATTCAATTTTATTTATACATTTTTGTATTATTGCAATTTATAAGCTAAGCACACAACAAACTGCTTTTCAAGATCATTTAAAAGGCAATGGTACAATATTAGTAATTGGTACAAAATAATACAACATTCGATAGCTTTTCGATTATATGGTGCTGCAAATCAAAATTACCCAGCACTTATGTTTGTGACGGCCCGCTAAATTCAAAAGAGTTAAACCTGTAGTAAATTAAATATGTAATTTATTGAATACAATAAAGTAGCGCATGATTTTTGTAAACTGCTTTAAATATTATGTTCTAAAATGTTTGACTTTGTACAAAATATATATATATATATATATATATATATATATATATATATATTTACTATATATGCCGAAAATTGTTCCTCCTTTGCGTACACACTTCAAATTTGATGTTTTCACTCATTATCTTGTTACTTGATTATTTTGATATAATTATAATATTATTAGTTGCATTGGCAATATAACAAACGATAAATATGCTAATGCTGAGTATTGCAAAGTTACTAAGCAAAAATTATAAATTAGAATATGAGCTTTCGGTGGATTGTCAAGGGTTCAAATAAAGAGTATGTGCACATAAATTTACAAAGGCAATTTATTTAGTAAGAAATTTCAATTGAAGCAAGTGTATATTAAAAAATATTGAAAAATATAACAGCTAACTTAAGATTGTATGACAAAAGCATTTCTTTTCCTATTGATGGCAGCGCCATGAACAGTAAACTTAAAAACTAACAAAAATTGCTTTGAGAAATGAGGCGTTACTCAATTTAACTTTTTACTTATTAACCGAGGAAGAATCGTCAATTGATTACATTTAAAAGCTAAGTCTAAGACCTATTCATTTATTTACTTATTTTTGTTTGACGTCATGGAGCGAGCTACCGTCTCCCACATGTCGTCGCCAGCTGCATGACCCAAATCCAATCACTTTATCATCATCGTCCTTAGTACTTTGAGGAGTGAGTTCGTTTTCTTCTGTTCTTTTGTTTATGTTTTATCATGTTCTGTTATCAGTTGCGGTTGTTGTTGCGTGAGTTCAATTGCACCTAAGTGGAGGAGGATGAACCACCAGCCGGTTCATCGCCCTTTACAGCCGAGGCATAGCTGGCACCTGCGTTGCCTCCGCCGCTCGACGAACTGCCCGGTTTCTCATTGGCTTTGCCATCCCCAGCAGCTGCAGCAGCAGCAGCATTTGGGACACCAGCCGCACCGCCAATGCTAACATTACTGTTCAGACCTGAAGTGTGATGTGAATCAACTAAATAATTTGTTTTGACATTGCAATTGTAGGTGTGTGTGTCTGATGATGTGTATGTGATTCAAATGGAATTATAAAGCACCTTTAACATCCATGGCGTAGCTGTCGTCCAAGCGCAGGTCGTGACGCTTCAGCAACTGGCACTCAGCGCCCTCAACCGAGGGTATGGAATAGACGTACAAATAGCCATCCTGCGAGGCAATCAAGAGTCTGCAAAGAGAATACAATAATAAGTATAATTGAAGTCGAATATGCTGTAGTGTTGAGTGTAGGACCCACCTTAGCTGCTTCTGTATCGTGGTTATGGCGCACATGCGTCGCACACCCGCCTCTGGCAGCGTGACCGACGCGAAAGCGCGTCCCTGGCTAAACACGTCGGTCACCTGCGTGGGCAAGTAGCTGGTCACCGTTTTGCTCAAGAATCTAAAAAACGAGTAACTTTGCATGAGAGAATAGATTTGATGAGTGGTAGTTGTGGTGGTGGTTGTGGTTGAGGTTGTGGTTGTGGTTTGTGGGTGGTTGATTGAAGAAATGAAAGAAAAGAAAAATAGATAAATGTCAAGTGCCACACACAAAGAAACAAAAGAAAAAAGCAGATAAACAACCTAAGGATCGACACAGCGAAAGGGCCTAAATTAAACAAGAGCTCAAGGACTAATCCAACAAAATGATATTAACCTGCCATCTAATAGATTTTAATAAATCAAAATAGAATTACAAATTGATAAAGCAAATGATAAACAAGCAGGCTATATATGTGAGCTATTCTTTGGCAAAGTCTTCACTGTACACAAAAATTCTGTATGGGTGAAAGATAGTGAGAGTCTGTGTATATATAGCGTATATATGTTGTATGTGCATGTCTATATACACCGTCACCAAAATAAACAGACAACAAAAGCTGACTACTGAGCCTCGCAGTCCACAGCTCTTCAACTTACCCCATCCAATCGTCGCTCGACTGTTTGCCATGATCGCTGTTTTCGGCAGCGCTGCGATCCAAGCGGAATATGTGCACCGTCTCCGTGTTCGAGCTGGAGACCAAGTACTCAGCACAAGTGCTGAATGAGAGCGAGACAATGGAGACGCAACGTTTGAGGCCGCGTCGCAGCTCGAACAAGCGGCTGCCATCCTGGGAGCTGAACACACGAATCACAGTACCGCGCTCGCTGGCCGTCGCGATCTCTGTGCCCGACGGACTAAAAGCAATAGCCGCCAATGGGGTGTCATGGGCGGGTATCATAGTCTTGGCGTGCAAGTTGATGGCATCGAAGATCTGCACCTCGCCACTTGTCACGCTGCCCGGGTAGGCCAGGTAGCAGTGCTCCGACGAGGAGGAGAGTGCACACAAGCCCAGCTGGTTGCAGGGCGTATCGCGTATGGTGTGCACCACCTTCATGTCCTGTATGTTGTGGATGTAGAGCGACTCCTCCAAGCAGACAATCAAGCGCTCCCGATTCAGCTTCACAGCCAAAATCGTATTCGAGTAAGAGTAATTGCAAATTTCGCTCTGCTTTTTGAAATGGCAAACTTTCAATTTGCGCGGCGCTCGCTGCGACACAATGGCAACCAGGGAGCTCTCGAAGAGTCGCTCGATGAGGAATAGATCATCGCTTTTTGTGTTATAGATTTTGTCCAGCGTGGAGTCAACAGAGCTCAGGCTATACAGGCTGTAACTACCGCTGGTCGCCACAGCCAGCGAACTAAGCGAGAACAATACTTTATAGATTGCATTTAATCATATTTACACACACTCACGTTATGTTTTGATTGAAATTGACAAACACCTCACCCGCATCCACATCGGGTCGCCCTAGCAGGCTCATCATTGTGTCTGCTTCTCTGTTCTTTGGGCTGCAATGGTAAAAATATTTAGAATACCCTTCTGACACCATATAATGACAATTTCCTATTCCTAAATACCCTCTATATGCACAGATATCTCCACAGTCATAGACAAGAGGAATACGCGACTAGCATATACCTATTTCCCAAAATCAACTCATGGATTCTTACTGACCTCGCCAATTTTATATTTATTCTATTTACTGATACAAATATATGCACAAAATTTGTATACCCTATACCTCCATTGTCTTCAGGGTATGTTGGAGCAAAACAAAGCAATTATAGCTCTGATTTAGATATTACCGTTGAGACGTGAAGTAACTTTAAAATATGCAACAGCTTAGGGACTGGGCCAGCATATTTCGACTGCGTATTAGACGCAAGCGAACTAACAAAGCAAATATACATATGGAATGATGTATTTTGGGTTGAGCTCTGATAAAACCCCAAACCAACAACAACAAACGAAATGAACACGTATCGCCTAAGCATTTACTTACTTTTCAACAAAAACACCTTTTATGCACGGCCAAAACTTTGGACAACGTGTACGATAACACTATTCAATGGTTCTATTATAAACACTGTCTATTTATTTATATTTCTAAAATAATTTCTATCGCGCAATTGTTTTTGCTATGTTTTGCACTAGGGATGGGGCTAATTTGCGTGCGATACCTAGAGATTTAAAGTATCGTCATATACCATCGATATGCGCGACACTGAATTGCGATAATTGTCGTGCGACATTTGTTATCGCTGGCTATCGATAGTGACATTGGATTTTATATATATGTACATATATTTATTTTACTGTGTTAAAGTTCTGTAAATATTTAGCGTCAACAGATAAAAATGATAAACCAATAGCCATAGTGGTCGCCTAATTCACATTGTGCTTGGAGGATGATAGAAATTCACCGCGTTTATACCGATGCGAAAACAGCAGCTGCCAGTTAACATAGTTGAAAAAGTAAAAAAAAAATGCAATATGCATAATAGTTATAAACGCAAAACAGGAAATACAGGATATTGTTTAGCTAAATCAAGAAGCATTGCTAAACACAAATATTGCTGAATGGTCAAAGCACAAAAAGATGCAGACGCACGCAGACAACAAAAGCCATAACAAAGTGCTCGAACCAAAATAAATGCATATGCATGAGAGTATATATGCATGTATGTGAGAGTGTATATATGTTATGTATCAAAATGTGTTGACTGGATTCTGATTGGATCATTGAAATACAATAAACTGTGTGGAACAAGCACGTTCACTGATTACATTTACAACTATCAAGATCTTCAACAAATCTTTATGTAAGTATATAGAGACAGTGGCTACACACCTATTATCAACAAACACACACCCACCTGGATTGTGATAAGAAATGAAATGAGAACGCGCACTAAAAACGTGCATCTCTGCGTATAGCTTTATAGCTAGATTCTTTGGCCATTTTGTATTTTATTTTTAATCAGGCCTTCCAGTCGTGATTTACTGAGTAGCGTAACCGTTAATTATTTGCCAAGTGTAAACACTCTTACGCATAGTACCGTTATCGCGGCATTGTACTTTTCCACCGCGCTGAGCGTCTCTGTCATCATCCAATTGGACGCGTGAAAGGGCCAGCGCATGGGCTAGTATTTGCGAGTGCGAGCAGGTAAAGCTTACAGACACACACACACGCACATGAACAGAGAGGGTAATTCTAACTGCATTCTGAGTGGATTCCACAATTCTAATTGCATTTGTTAGCTGTGTCTATGCCTTTGTATGTGTGCGTGCTTTACTTTTTTGTTTTGTTTCACGTCGCTCTTGTTCACGTTCATTAATAATTAGCCGCGCTGTCGCTCTTTTTTATCATGAAGCGACGTCGCCCATGTACTTTTGACATTTAAAATCCAATCAGCAAGAATCAAGAGTCGTATGCGTGAATTGGAATGTCCCCTGATAGCTAAACGCTTATACTGTTCCGCTTGCAGCTCAACTTTCGCGCTCGAATATGTCCGACGGGGTTAGTGTGCTGCACATCAAACAGGAGGTGGACACATCATCGGCTGGCGGTGCCAGCAATTCGTGCTGCAGTCCCAGCTCCAAGGCAACCACCGCCCACAACAATTCGAGCAACAGCAACAGCGGCATGAAGTCCTCGCCATCCGTGTCGCCAGAGCGCCAGCTCTGCAGCTCGACCACATCCTTGTCCTGCGACCTGCACAACGTCTCGCTGAGCAACGATGGCGACAGCAACAAAGGAAACGGAGTCAACAGCGGCAGCACTGGCGCCCAAAACTCGAGTGCTAATGCGGGCAGCGGCTCGGTGCGCGACGAGATGCGTCGCCTCTGCCTTGTCTGCGGCGATGTGGCATCGGGCTACCACTACGGCGTGGCCAGCTGCGAGGCCTGCAAGGCCTTCTTCAAGCGCACCATCCAGGGCAACATCGAGTACACCTGCCCGGCGAACAACGAATGCGAGATCAACAAGCGACGGCGCAAGGCCTGCCAGGCGTGTCGCTTCCAAAAGTGCCTGCTCATGGGCATGCTCAAGGTACGCTCGTTCTCTCTGTCTGCCTCATTGTATAACAATCTTCCTCATTCCAGGAGGGCGTTCGCTTGGATCGCGTGCGCGGCGGCCGTCAGAAATACAGACGCAATCCGGTGTCGAATTCGTACCAGACCATGCAACTGCTTTACCAGTCCAGCACCACATCGCTGGGCGACGTCAAGATACTGGACGTGCTCAACAGCTATGAGCCCGATGCGCTCAGCGTGCAGGCACAGCAGCAACAGCAACAGTCGCAGCAGCAGCAGTCGCAGCAGCCCCACACGACCAGCTTGAATGATGAGGCCTCTTCGTCCTCCGGCAGCGTGAAGCTGGAGGTCAGCAACGGCACCTCCAATGGCACTTGCATTTTTCAGAACAACAACAACGATCCGAACGAGATACTTGGTGTACTTAGCGATCTCTACGACAAGGAGCTGGTCAGCGTCATTGGCTGGGCCAAGCAGATTCCAGGTTTCCTGGACCTGCCACTGAATGATCAGATGAAGCTGCTGCAGGTCTCGTGGGCAGAGATTCTGACGCTGCAGACAACCTTCCGCTCGCTGCCGTTCAATGGCAAACTCTGCTTCGCCACCGACGTCTGGATGGACGAGCTGCTGGCCAAGGAGTGCGGCTATACGGAGTTCTACTATCACTGCGTTCAAATAGCGCAGCGCATGGAGCGCATTTCGCCACGGCGCGAGGAGTACTATCTGCTGAAGGCGCTGCTGCTGTCCAACTGTGATATACTGCTGGACGACCAGAGCTCGTTGCGCGCCTTCCGCGACACCATCCTCAACTCGCTCAACGACGTGGTCTACCTGCTGCGCCACTCCTCGGCCGTCTCGCACCAGCAGCAGCTGCTCCTGCTGCTGCCGTCGCTGCGACAGGCGGATGACATACTGCGTCGCTTCTGGCGGGGCGTGGCACGCGACGAGCACATCAACATGAAGAAGCTGTTCCTCGAGATGCTCGAACCACTGGCCAGGTGAAAGTCAGCCTCAGCTCCAGCTCCAGCTCCAGTAGCAGATTGCCAGTCGATTTAGCTTTTAAGTTCAGGTGCAAATATCGATATAAGCTAATTTAGTTACTAAACTACAGTTGTAAGCATTCAACAGAGGTGTAGCTCATAGATAGTGTATATAGTTTGTCTGTGTACGTGGCTAATGCGTAGAGAAAAAGAGTAAAGAGTAATTCGTATTCGAAAACTTAAAGAACCACATTTAATCAACTACCAACTATTCTACTAATATATTGTACAACAGATAAGTGTTGGCTGCGGCCCAGGCCGAAGTCGAAATACCCTTGCAGGTGGATATAGTTTGTGTAGAGTCAGGATATGTATGATCAAGATTTGATGAGGACCAATCTATTCACTGAGACTGCTACGCGTCTATGGGCTATATAGTTAACTGAGCAGCTCATGTGAGTCTGAAGTATTCAAGAGGGAAGAGCAGCGGAATGAGCCCAGCTGACTTAGTCGGACTGACATACGTATACTTAACAAATACAGTTTACACAAGTGTGTGTCTAAACTGGGCCAACTGCAAGGGCAGGGAGAAGGCAGACTTAACACATACGATAGATTTCAATTTAGCTTAGGCAAAGACAATATTGAAGCTGTACGACATTGTCCTTGGAGTGCAGGGTATTCCCGGGTATTGCACACTCGGAGACTGCCACCACGAAGCACTTGAACTAACTGTAACATGGAAACTAGAGGGGAACTATCAACACGTTGATAGCTGGAACCTTAGTTGGCGGCAGGCCGAGAACACCCTGTGTTGTGACTTAAATATAGTTGGGGCCTTAACTGAATGGGCGGGGGCCATGGTGAATGAGAGCAGCGGGATGGGGAAGCCATAAGATTAGCGCTATCGTTGGTCATCTTTACATTTGTTGCAGACTAGAGACGTGTGTGTGTTCCAATTACAATAATTGAGAGGCACATATTACTGATGTTGGCCGTGGAGTTTGATCTAGGGCAGAATGCGCTGCAGATCGGGCGAGTCAAAGTACTTGCGGGAGCTCTCCTGGAAGCGGTCGCTGCGCGCGAGCTCGTTGCGGAAGTATGATATGGTTTGCAGCAGGCCCGACTCCAGGGGCACCTTGGGCTCCCAGTTGAGGCGCTTCTTGGCACGCGTGATGTCCGGCTTGCGGCGCTGCGGATCATCCTCCATGGCCTTGATCTGCTTCACCTCGCTCTGCCCGCCCACCAGATGCTTGATGATATTGGCGAACTCGCCAATCGTCTGCTCCACGGGATTGCCCAGATTCACGGGCTGCGTGTAATTGGAAGCCATCAGTGCAATCAGGCCATCCACCAGATCCGAGACGTATTGAAACGAGCGCGTCTGCTTCCCGTTGCCATAGACCGTGATCGTCTCATTGCGCAGCGCCTGCAGTATGAAGTTGGACACGACGCGGCCGTCGTTCATGTGCATCCGCGGCCCGTATGTGTTGAAGATGCGTGCCACGCGCACTTGCACCTTCTCCTAAAAGCAAATGGAGCAGGCGTTAGCATTAACTCCCATCGGATAAAACATTAAACATGTAATATTCCCTATCTTATCAATTCTGCTTTATCGCTAGCTAACTCAAGTGCTGGCATCCGGAACTCCGAGGCATTGTCTCTGACTGAAGGTCAATTTCGGAATGTTTTCCGGCAGCACACGTTGCAGTAGGACGGAAACTTTTTAAGCCACCCTCGCCTCGTAGAAACCTGATATATATTTATACCGTATAGATAAGGCCCGCTTAAACCAGTTAGTCTTTTGATAGGCTTGATTTGTTTATCTTCTACTCAAACAAATTAATTTAATGCATCGCTGCACATTCCAATTAGATTGATACCAATCAGATAATCGAATGACGCCAGCGGTAGTCGCTTAGCCATAGAATGATATACATATGTATAAATGTATATGCATTAAAATATCAGTTCAGATACATATAGGGAGAATAGATTCTTCTTATATCAGTTCACCACGCTAAATAATTCCAACTGGCTTAATTAGGCTTTCCTTATAAGGCACATTCCGCTTATAGCCCAAGTAGAATATACATCAGGTAGTCAATGACGTCAGAACTCACCTGCTTGGCATAGGCATAGCTGAGCGTCTCGGAGACGCGCTTGCCCTCGTCGTAGCAGGCGCGTGGACCTATGGGATTCACATGACCCCAATAGGTCTCCGGCTGCGGATGCACTGTGGGATCTCCGTAGACCTCCGAGGTGCTGGCAATCAGCACCTTAGCCATGACCCGCTTGGCCAGTCCCAGCACATTGATGGTGCCCATAGTATTTGTCTTTATTGTCTTCACCGGATTGTACATATAGTGGGGCGGCGATGCGGGCGACGCCAGATGATAGATCTCGTCGATCTCGATGAACAGCGGATTCACAATGTCATGGTGGATGAGCTCAAAGTTCTCGTGACCCAACCAATGCTCCACATTGCGCTTACGCCCCGTAAAGAAGTTGTCCACCACAATTACCTCATGTCCCTGGATCATCAGGTCGTCCACTAGATGGGAGCCCACAAAGCCGGCGCCGCCGGTGATCAAAATGCGCTTCCGATTCTTATAGTTGAGATACTTGACCTTCGGATATTTGCGTGGCGTGCTGGCCTGCAGGGAGCGCACCTGTTCCTCCAGCTGGGCCAGCTGTTCCTTGGTGTGAAGCAGCTCCTGTCGCTGCTGATGCAGAAGCGCATTTTGAGCCTCGTAGGCGATTTGTAGATTGCGCTGAACAGCATCCTCGGTGGGGGGCCACTGTCGTTGCTCCTCGACCCCGTGAGCAACGGAACTAGCTCTTGGCACGCTAGTGGCGGGAGCGATCGCAAATTTGTACAAATAGATGAGGGCCAGGCCAATAATTGAGCTGCCCGAAACAATTTTAATCCGCTTCTTTGTCAGGCTCATTCTGTGTACGACAACTATAGCTGACGTTGCTAGAATTGAGACGCGGTCGCTGTTCGCGTGCGCTATTTGCTCTTATCAGCAACTGTGCATGTTTATTTATGTTCTCTGTAGTGTTGTTTACCCACCATTCAGCGATGTAATTTTAGTGCGCATCGAGTTGCGATCAGCTGTTTTCGTGCTGTTCAGCACAGCTGTGCTGTTGGTGGTATTAAATATCAAATAAATTGACTAGCATCGGGTGTTTTATTCTATTGTAATACAGAAATATGTGAATTCTTTAAGCATGTTTACAAACATATACTTTAACAATTAAAGCTGAAATTTGAATTCAACGTCAACGTTTCATGTCTGAGACGACACTATCGACAACTATCGATAGACAGTACTGAACGTTTTTAATAAATTTTCTGTTAATCACTTGAATTTAACTGGTAAGTATTGTTGCTAACATGTTTTCAAATTTCATTTATATGTACAGTTCACACACATTTTTTTTTACATATATATTTAAATGAGAATGAAAATCGATTGCTGACAAACTACAAATTAGGGTGGCCATTAAATATTATTTAGTTGTACATCTTATGTGCGAGATCTGGCAGCTGCGTTAGTGAGTCAGCTGCTAATAGTTTTGCGATTTCATTGCAATTATTTTTTTGCTAGCACATATTAATAAACTTCTTACAAATCCTCAAACGCAACAGAGAAATGCCGAACGATAATGCACCCGCAGCCAGCCCAGATGATAACAATGAGCATGAACTAAGGCAGAAGACTAAAGAATTGGCAAACGCATCGGCGCAAATGCTAGCAAGCGCCGTTGCCGGCTTAAAAATAAAGAAGCCTGGGTCGACGGAAAACGAAGCCAATGAGAACGAGTCGGCGCCCGCAGCAGCAGCAGCAGCACCACCGCCAGAACGGTCAACGCTAGCCAAAAATGGCGCCTATATATCGTTAGACTCTAGTAAGTAAAACAGTGCACGAAAATTCAATTGGAATGGGCGGCACACAAAATGAGGTTAGGTCCGACCAGAAATATACTGTGATTGTGTGTGTGCGGCTTGGACCATGCTGAATAGGAAGATCAATATACGGAGTATTTAATAATATTTTTCATTTTAGGCAAACAAGCACTGCTGCAGGCAGTCAATGAAGCAGTGAGCTTCACACGGCCACAGTCGAAGCAATTTACATTCTGGTCAACGCAACCGGTGCCAAAGCTAAACGAACTGGTGACCACAAATGAGTGCATCGAGCCAAACAAAGAGATTTCTGAGATACGTGCCGAGCCGTACACCTTGCCCAGCGGTTTCAAATGGGTGACAATCGATGTGAACGATCCCAACGACAATAAGGAGCTCTATACGCTGCTCAACGAGAACTATGTGGAGGACGATGATGCCATGTTCCGTTTCGACTATCAGCCAGAGTTTTTAAAGTGGTCCCTGCAGCCACCTGGCTGGAAGCGTGACTGGCATGTGGGCGTGCGGGTCGAGAAGTCGGGCAAACTAGTGGGCTTCATTTCGGCCATACCAAGTAAGCTGCGCTCGTACGACAAGGTGCTGAAAGTGGTGGACATCAATTTCCTCTGTGTGCACAAGAAATTGCGCAGCAAGCGCGTTGCCCCCGTGCTGATACGCGAGATCACACGTCGTGTCAATCTGACCGGAATCTTTCAGGCTGCGTACACTGCGGGCGTGGTTCTGCCAACGCCTGTGGCCACCTGTCGCTATTGGCACCGCTCGCTGAATCCTAAGAAGCTGGTGGATGTGCGTTTTTCCCATTTGGCTCGCAACATGACCATGCAACGCACTGTGAAGCTGTACAAACTGCCTGACCAGCCCAAGACAAAAGGCTATCGTCGCATCACGTCCAAGGATATGGACAAGGCGCACAAACTGCTGGAGGAGTATCTAAAGCGTTTCTCCCTGTGCCCAGTGTTCACCAAAGAGGAGTTCCGTCATTGGTTCACGCCCAAGGAGGGCATAGTCGATTGCTTCGTGGTCGCCGATGAGAAGGGCAACATTACCGATCTGACCAGCTACTACTGTCTGCCCTCGTCCGTGATGCACCATGCCGTGCACAAGACCGTGCGTGCCGCGTACTCATTCTACAATGTGTCCACAAAGACGCCTTGGCTGGAACTAATGAACGATGCCCTGATCTCTGCGCGTAACGTCCAAATGGATGTCTACAATGCTCTCGATCTGATGGAGAATAAGAAGTTCTTTGTGCCGCTTAAGTTTGGTGCCGGCGATGGCAATTTGCAGTACTATTTGTACAACTGGCGCTGTCCAGCCATGCAGCCCGAGGACATTGCCTTGATACTCATGTAAGACGGTTGGTGGTGGATGAGTTGAAGAACCCGCAACAAAAAATGCACGTTAACAAAGAGGGAAAAGGAAAATGAAAAATGATTAAAAATACAAACAAAAACGAGACAGAACTTGTTGACATTCTCGCCGAATCCACGTTTATTTACGCGCAAGCCCTTAATGTCCTCACCCCGCCCCACATTCTTGAAGGTTTATCTTAATTGAATTAAGTATTTACGCAAAAATTAGTGCACTATTTCTCTGATATCTTGTATCTTGTAATTCCTCGTTTAACGAAATTTTTGATTTTCCAAGTGTCACATGGAATGCATTTTTAATTGCAATTGCAAAGCTTGAATACTATTTAAAAAATAAATAAATCAAATGAATACTACAAACTGAAAAAATAATTCTTTGAATAGACGTTACACGATGTGCTCCGCGAGGATGGATACAGATGACGCATTGGAACTAACGTCTCAATTGGTAAGTTTGAATACGATTTTAAAAGCATTTCAAATGAATACGTGCACAACTAAATAATCAAAAAGTATACTACGGATATTTAAATTGTAGTCAAGATCAAATTTTGGCGCCTATCGCATTAACACTTTGGCATTTTAGCAGTCTGGCAGCACCTGCAAAAAAGCGCGCGCTCAGCAGAAAAACAGGTGTGTTATGCTTGTGTGCATTGCTGTAGGTAATTTTGCTTAGCTGTTTTTAAATGTAGAATCAAATTGAAACCAATGGACGAATCAATTTATAAAGACAAGTATCAAAAGTACAAGCTACGTGTCAAGCTATGGGAAAAAGATTTCAAGAAGAAGCACGGCCGTGTGCCCTCGAAGGTGAGAGAGATTTAACTGAATGCTCTGTGGTACTGAAATTATAACTAAGTTTCCTATAGTACGACATAAGAGAGGCCAGTCAGGAGATACGCGACTCCTACAAGATGTACTACAAACTGAAGACCTCGTTTCTTGAGGAGACGTTGAACGATGTGCTCTGCGAGGACGGATTTGATGTGCTGGAAATGACGCAGTCCGAGGATCTGGGCGTCACTTTAATGGACCAGAGCCCCGAAACGGAGAGTGTCAATGGCGGACCCCAGCTGCCGATGGACATTACAGCGCTGATGCAGCAAAGCAAGGAGAACGCCTTCTCAAACATCAAGGAGCTGCCCACGCCGCAGGCTCTGACGAATCTTATGAATCGTGACGAGAATCATGTAATACGCAAATTTGAGGCTGTCGAAGAGCTGGCGCAGAACGTGAGCGCCTGGGGCGAAAATGTGAGCAAGCAGCAGCCAGTGGTGGCAATGGTGACGTCGCCAACCGAGTTAACCAAGCCGAGAACGCCCTGCGTGAAGCCGAGTGTCAGCAGCAAACTGTTCCAATCCTCGCGCAGCTTTGCCAAGCGTAATCCTCGCAAGCCGCTCTCCCGCGGCGCTCTCAATGTGAGTGCCACTGGATCGATGGCTGGTGCAGCTGGAGAGCAAGAAGAGCAGTTGCCTGATCTAGAGACCATACTCATACGCAAGGCGCAGGAGCACAAGGCAGAGGTGATTGCAGCTAATGCTCTGCTGCTTACCGATCACAAAGGGCCAGCAAAGGAGCCCATCAAAACGCACGTCGACGAAGGTTGGCTGCAACGCAACACAGCTGAAAATTCGCTGGAACAGCCAAGAAAACTGCCGGTCAAAGAGCCCAACAACAACGCGACTCCAGCTAGGAAAACCAATTATGGCTTGTCCAATTTAGATTTAAGCAAGCTAAGGCCAACTGACTCCCCATTGCCAACGCCTCCAGACGAGTCGAAGCCAGCGGATTCAGTTGAAAAGGTGCAGGAGTCGCCTATAGCTTCAGCCTCAGCTCCTATTCAAGCTCCTATTGAAGTTCCAGTTCAGGCTCCAGTTGAAGTGGCAATGGAAGAAGACTTCGACTCCAATTCCGATTCTGTTGTGGCCGACAGCGAAGAGGAAACGGAGCAGCCGGAGTACAGGCACATAGCCAAGCGTCGCCGCATCATGCCCACAAGCGAATCGCCAGGAACGGTGCCTGAAGTGGATCCTCATCCAAACGATCCCGACACAACCGACGAATGCAAGGAGGATAAAGATTTCTCAGCGGGCGAGGATGGCGACGCCAACTACGAACCAGAGCTGCCCAAGTCCAAGCGCAAGCAGGCCACGGCCAAAAGGCAGAAACCGAAGGCTGAAAAGAAACCCAAAGTGGAGAAGGCAGCCAAGCCCAAGGGCACGAAGGCAGTCAAACAGAAAGCAGAAAAGACTGACAAGCCAAAAGTGGAGAAGGCAAAAGCCAAGTCCAAGTCGAGAGCGAAAGCAGCTGCAGCTGCAGCTGCAGCTGCCGACCAGGCCGAGGAGGAGCTGCAGGAGCAGCCATTGAACCCCAAAGATCTCAAATATGTGCTAGCGCTCGAGTCGGGCGATATAACCTGCGTGCCACGCATCAAGCTCGACGAGCTAGAGAAAGCTGACGAGACAGCTCAGCGGTATATTAGCAACTTTGCCAGTGGCCGGCCCGCAGGGGAAGCTGCTGCCTCCTCCTCCTCTGCCTCTGTGAACGAGAAGCGAGCAGCTGCACGTCTGAAGCTGGAGGCGAGGATCGCGGCGGGTAAGTTGAATGAGAACTTTGTGACGATCAACATACAGAAAAAGAAGTTCTCGCGTGGCAAAAAGACCGTCAACTTCAGTAAGTACAAGAAGCAGCAGTGGAGGCACAAGAAGCGAGTGGCTGCGCTGGCAGGCCCCGACATGGACATGGGTGGCTGCGATGGAGGTGTGTTGACCTGTTTCAATTGCGGCCAGGTGGGTCATTTCGCGCAGCAGTGCAAGATCAAGGGCGATACGCTGTTGCCGCTGAGCGCGCAGCTGGAGGAGGACCCGTCGCCATTCCCCACGCTAGCTGAGGTCGAGATGATGGCCACACAGGGAGCCCTAGCGGCGCACAGTCGCAACATTGAGCGCCTGCCACAGGCAGCCAACACAAATGTTATTTATCAGCACGCTGACTCCAGCAGCAGCAGCTGTGATGAGGAGGAGGATGCTGAGTCTGGCGCAAATCCTTCTGCGCAGCTGAACATGTCCAGTGATGAGGGGGACATTGATTTCGAGGCCTTGGATGCAGCTGTTGATGCAGCACAAGCACAGAAAGTTGAATCGCCCATTAAGAGCTATGTGGGCCATAAGATACCCGAGCAGTTCCTCAAGGAAGCCGGCCTGGATGCCAGCGCATCGAATGGAGGGGGACCAGCGCGAACTCAGCATGGAGGTGTGCAGCCCCTCTACGAGCTCAAGGCGGATGGCAGTTTGCAGGACCCGACAGACGAGGTCATCGAGGCGCTGCACATGTTTGGACACAGCAGCTTCCGCAAGGGTAAGCTATATCCGTTCATTAGATTCACTGATATATGGATGCCCCGTTGCAGGTCAGGATCGTGCTGTGATGCGCATACTCAGCGGCATGTCTACGTTGGTCACCCTCAGCACGGGCAGCGGCAAGTCGCTGTGCTATCAGCTGCCCGCTTATCTGTACAGCCGCCGTCTGGGAGCCATTACATTGGTCATCTCTCCACTGGTGTCGCTCATGGAGGACCAGGTGACGGGCGTGCCGCACTTTCTGCGCGCCCACTGCTTGCACACGAATCAAACGCCACAGCAGCGGCTCAAGATTCAGCAGCTCATAGCCGACGGCGAGATTGATATACTTCTCGTCTCGCCAGAGGCTGTGGTCTCGGGGGAGCGTGCCACGGGCTTCGGTGCCATCTTGCGGCAGCTGCCGCCCATCGCATTTGCTTGCATCGATGAGGCGCATTGTGTTTCCCAGTGGAGTCACAACTTTCGTCCCAGCTACCTAATGATATGCAAAGTGCTCAAGAAGAATCTGGGCGTGCAGACGGTGCTCGGTCTGACGGCCACAGCGACGTTGCCTACTCGCATCAGCATCATCGAACATTTGGGCATCACGGATGGGGAGCATGGCATAATAAGCGACACACCCTTGCCCGATAATCTAATACTCTCCGTTTCCAAGGATGAGAACCGTGACGCGGCACTGCTGCAGCTGCTCAACAGCAAGAGGTGGGCGAATCCTGAGTTCCTCGGTCTTACACAAACTATTAACTACCTTCTGTACCCTTCGCAGATTCGAGAGCTGTCAATCGATTATCATCTATTGCACGCGCCGTGACGAATGCGAGCGAATAGCTAGTTTCATTAGAACCTGCATGCAGGACAAGAAATCGAATCAAGCACCCGACCAGACGAAGAGAAAGCGGAAGCGGGTGAACTGGCAGGCAGAGCCCTATCACGCGGGCATGCCCGCCTCTAGACGCCGCACCGTGCAGAACGCCTTTATGGGCAACGAACTGCGCATTGTGGTGGCCACCATTGCCTTCGGCATGGGCATCAATAAGCCCGATATTCGCGCTGTTATCCACTATAATATGCCGCGGAATTTCGAGAGCTATGTGCAGGAGATTGGACGCGCTGGACGTGATGGTCTGCTGTCGCATTGCCATCTGTTCTTGGACCCCAAGGGAGGGGATCAGAACGAGTTGCGTCGACATGTGTATGCCAATTCCATTGATCGCCATGTCATACGCAAGCTGCTGCAGCGCATCTTTGTGCCCTGCAGCTGCGATAAGCAGCTAGATGCGAAGAAGAACTCTGTGGAACCTAGGGCTGCAAGTGAGGCAGGCACACGGGAGCATATCTGTCCCGGACATGAGATTGGCTTCTCGGTGGAGAAGACAGTCGAAGCGCTGGACATACCCGCCGAGAATATATCAACGCTGCTCTGCTACATGGAGCTGGAGCCACGCTGGTGTATGAATGTGCTCAGCTCGGCGTATATCATGGCCAAAGTGATATCCTACGGTGGCCCCAAATATCTGAAGTAAGTTAATATGTATAATGCGAGTATAAACTATTTATATATTATTTAAATATACTCCCTTACTGCTCAGACACGCCGCCAAAGAATGTCCTCCCCTGGCCATGGCCATCGCGCTGCAGATTAAGAACAAAACATTCAAGGAGGATGCAAACATTATAGAATTCTCCGTCGTAGACATCGCGGCCGGCATTGGCTGGAACAGCGGAGTGGTCAAGTATCAGCTAAAGAATCTGGAGTGGATGCAGGGTGTGCAATAACTCGTACTCTATGCAAATTATATTGGTATAACATATATTCTGTACTTACTAGTCAATGGCTATCCAAAGCGTTCGCCCATCTCAGTAAATTTCTTTGACCTGGGCTTTCGCATCAAGGCGCCGGGTGACTTCACAGAAGCAGAAATTGACGACGCCCTTGACACGTTATACACTCGATCGGTTATGCAGGAACGCACTCAGCTCATCCAGTTGCAGTACGTGGCTCATGGGTTGTCCGCCGTGGCCTACAGCTCGTGTGGACAATGCTGCTCAGTGGATTTTCCCCAGGATCGCTGTGCCCAGTTGAAGGGCATTGTACGCAACTACTTCCGCAACGACTATCCACAAGACTTGGAGCTAGAAATTGAGGTAAGTCTTAGAGAAAAGGTTTCCCAAAAAAGATCCACTATAACTCTTGACCATTCTCATAGCCAAGTGATGTGCCGGATGATCATATTATAGCTGATGTGCATGCTTTGATCAACATGTATCCCGACAATACGTTCAGTGGGCGCAATATAGCGCGTTTGTTCCATGGTATTTCTAGTCCGAATTACCCAGCTGTCATGTGGGGCCGTTGCAAGTATTGGCGTGCCCACACCAAAGTTGATTTCAATCGCATACTCAAGTTGGCCAACATGGAAATCGTTAAGCGGCGCACGTGATAAATTTGTTTTAGAGACTTAGTGTTTATTTTAATGTTCATATTTTAAATAAAATGATTACCAAGATTCATACTTAAATAATCCGCATAAAATGGTCTCAAACACAAATGAAATACCGGAAGATCTAATAAAATTCAAAAAGACCGCGCAGCTGAATCGTGCGTTACGATTGGTTCATATGAACCATTTGTCTTACATTAAATCGTGGAACAAGCGATATCTTTTAATCGACGCATCTCTAGCCGGTGTTGCTCGTGCGCTTTGTTTGCTAAATCAACAACAACAGTTCAAGCTAAAGTTATTTGTATTTTATATATGTATATAAGGTAACATCTGTGTAAACTATCGGCATATATCAAAAAAGATCGAATAAGGAAACAAAATATACGTAAATCCACGCATCGCATATGCTTTGTCTCCACTCGAGATTTAAGTTACATTTCAATTTTAAATTTCGATAGACATACCTCAAAATATATTGTGTACTCAATCAAATTGATAGCGCTTATCACTAGTTAAGCCGCTACCCCCTTTCAATTGCACAATTGATAATCATTCATTCAGTTGTGGTTGCTTCTTGTGGAGCCACAAAATTGACTGCGTGGCTGTAAATTGCGTTGGTGTGCGTGTTTGTTTCTCGCTCTGAGTGGTTGTGTGTGCGTGCGTGTCTGTAAGTGGGTGTAGCCAAAGCCGAAGGCATCGCGTGTCAAATTGCGGTAAATGTTATTAGTCTCTCTCCTTGCAGTTAAGCGACAGTATTCAGTGGCATTATGTTTACCTACGGCAGTTTGGCTCTCCTGCTTTTAGTGGCATCAACAGCTGTGAAAGCTGATGATAATGAGTCCTGTTACTCATTCGCTGGTGGCTCAGTTTATCCCGCCGGCGAGCCCAAGGGTGACCATCAATTGCAGTACACTAAGGCCGTCAGTAAGTGACCAGATGCGCTAAGCTTTTACTTCTTACCAGATTAAATGCCATATATTCAACAGTTTCCAAGCCTGCGCCACAGTTCGAGGCCACCGCCGTGGTCAACAAAGAGATTGTGCAGCTCTCGCTGTCCCAATATCTGGGCAAATATGTTGTGCTACTCTTTTATCCACTGGACTTGTAAGTTAAAAATAAACCCTTATTCGTACATATAGTTATACTTCAATCATATGCAGCACATTTGTTTGCCCCACGGAAATAATTGCCTTTTCGGATCGCATCGCTGAATTCCGCAAAATCAATACGGAAGTGATTGCTGCAAGCGTTGACTCGCACTTCACACACCTGGCGTGGATAAATACGCCGCGCAAGGAGGGCGGCCTGGGTAATGTGAAGATTCCCCTTCTCTCCGACTTGACGCATAAGATAAGCAAGGACTATGGTGTGTACCTCGAAGAAGTTGGTCATACACTGCGCGGCCTCTTCATCATTGACCAGCGCGGCGTCTTACGCCAAATCACAATGAACGATCTACCTGTTGGCCGATCTGTGGACGAGACGATACGTCTCGTACAGGCCTTCCAGTACACCGATACACATGGCGAGGTCTGCCCAGCCGGCTGGAAGCCAGGCTCTGATACGGTAATCAATAGCATATAACGCAATTGTTGCTTTATTTATTTCACTGACATGTGTTCGCAGATTGTGCCCAATCCGGAGGAGAAAACAAAGTACTTTGCCAAGAACAACTAGGCATTTTCTACTTAGCCTGCCTGCACAACCCACCAAGATTGGCTAGCAAATATATTCAAATTTAAATGACTGAAATATAAATAAAATGAATGCACACATTTTCCTTAAAAAATATATATGTATATATATATATATATATATATATATATATATATATATTCCGGGCATTTGTACATAAAAGCAAACTGATGATTATTTGATAGGGCTTTGCGATTATTCATGAGATTCCGAGTAGAGCTTATATACTAGCAACACTCTGCAATAGAAATGAAGTGTTGAATCAGATGTGCTTTTGGACAGGAAAGACTTACCAACAAAATGACGCCACCAAGGATTAAAGCTTTATAATTCGTATTTAAGCTGGAAGGAAACGAAGCAGAAAAATATGATGACTCCGTAAAAAGAGATTCCAATATTGGAAACTCTTTGGTTATAGTTCCAATCTGATGGTCATGCGAGTCCCATATCTATTTACCAGATTGTGATAAAACATAAAAATATATGTATTAATATTTATGTATTTGCGATATACGCAGAAGTACAGACCGCCAGTGTGACCTTCCCTATATTTTTATAAATGGGTGGACCGTCAATAAAAATCACTTCCTTGCCATTAGCGTCTTGAACGACATATTCAGTATATTTGTAAGAAATGATCTTCAACACTTCGCCAATATAATGTCCAGGAGGTGCATAAACTTTTATTTTTTTATCACAGACGTTGAAGCAGGGACACAATGCGCAACTACAAGGATGGTCCAATTCCACTAATTTCGTTCCCGACTTATCCACAAGATCCATTTTAAATGGATATGAACTATCAAAAATAAATTGAAGGACCGACGGTCTCTCGAGACCCCTATAGACATTCTCGCCCTTTCCATTTTTAATCTGAAACATGAACTTTTTTGACGTATATTCTTCAAATGGCATCAGCCTCTGAGACACATAAATCTTATCCAAAGAGGACAGTACTTCAAGACCCCGTGTTACACGGCTGTCCGATGGAGCAACCATCCACACCTCGTCTTCTTTGCATTGCATATATATACAAATAAATGTTCTATATTCATTCTTATATATTCATTCTATATTTGCACTCACTTTTCCTTTTTTCTTCTGTCTCTTTTTTGTCTTTGTCACCTTTCCTACTAGACGATGGCATCTCTCCAAAAGCTTTTGGCACTTCTTTCATTTCCATTGTGATATATATATGTATCACAGTATATACAAAGAATAAGTCCTTTCTTTAAAAATCTAGAGTATTGTAGAGTGTATTAATATTTACGAACAAAATTTCAAACTTGCCCAAATTGTCTGACTTAAATTCTACTACATGCTTCATATTTTATGTACGTGACTATTTCAACTGTTTAAGCAACAGATTACTTGAATATCTTCATTTGTTTTTGAAAGGGCCCCCTAAGCGCGCAAAACTTAAAATAAAATATGCAGCCCTCAAGTTGTAAGAGACATCTCAAAGAGACTCGCTCTCTCGCCGCAGCGATGCTTGATATTCTGATGTATATGTACTTACTCACTGCGGCCATTCAACAAAATGACAAAAAGCTCAGCTGCAGTTAGAAACAGATATAGTTCGATGGCTGGTCACTTTAATCTTCTCAGTGGTGACACTCCGAACAGCTGTTCGATAAGTTCGATACATTTCTATTACGAAGGAGTATGTTCATCATGTAACACACACATATGCATATATATATGTTTGTGTGTGCATGTGTATACATATTTATTTGTACATACATATATACATCCATATCTACATAGAAATGTATAATTCTCTAGGACAGCCTATGAAGCGACGACATTACAACGCCTTTCCTTAACTATTTCCCTATTTCCCTATTTCATAGTTGCTGATTTGCTTTTTTTATTTTCTGTTTAGTTTATCAGTTTTAAAGAAGTTTTTACCACACTTAACGAAGTGTTTTTATTTTTATACCCTGAACCCATTTTCAATGGGAAATCAGGGTATAATGGTTTTGTTGAAATGTATGTAACAGGGAGAAGGAGGCGTGGCAGACCCCACAAAGTATATATATTCTTGATCAGGGTGACGAGCTGAGTTGATTTGGCCCTGTCCGTCTGTCTGTCCGTCTGTCCGTCTGTCCGTATGTATGAACGCGTCGATTTCAGAAGATATAAGAGCTAGAGACTTCAAATTTTTTTTAAAATGTCCGTAATTACAGCGCGCATATCAAGTTTATCATTAAAAATCGATAACTCATCTCGATATTTTTTTATCGATAAAAACCCTTATCGAAACCCAGTTATAAAATTATATCTTCTACACCTTTATTGCTAGAGTCTCCAAATTTTTAATGTATGCTTATATGCAATTTATACAATTTCGGTTTTTGTTAAAATTTACCCCCCACCTCTAAATTCACCCCCTCACCCTCACTTTTGTAAAAAGCGTATTTCAAATACTAGAGACTTGTGCTTTGGCAATTACATGCATATTCATGTTATAATCATAATCTAAAAGTTTCATGAAGATCGTACGTCCATAAAAAAAGTTATTAAACAATTAAGTTCACATAGTAAGCGCACACTGCAGCCCATGCGTGTTTATGCATGGTTGCTTGTGTGTGTATGTGTTTGTGTATGTGTGTGTGTATGTGTGTGTGTGTATGCGTTTGTGTATGTATGCGTGTGTGTGTGTATGTGTGTGTGTATGAGTGTGTGTGTATGTATGCCTGTGTTTGCGTACGTGCGTGTGTGTGTGTGTGCGTGTTTCTTGTGTAAGCTGAAAGTCGCGAAAAAGTATTGAAATATCTATTGCTCCAAGGGTTCAGGGGATCTCGTAGTCGAGCAGTCTCGACTAGAGCTTTCTTACTTGTTATTTTTATTTTTTACTTTTATTGTAATCATTTATTTAATATATTGCAATGCTTGATTCTGTTTTAGGTGTTGTGGATTGCATCTCTATTACATAAATTGTATTTTGTTTTGGCGCGCTAAACGTAAAGCTTAAAATGTAAACATATTTTGTTTGCTGGTGTGTATTTTGTTTTGTTTGTTTTGCATAAACAATGAAAACTTAAATGAAATACTTAATAAAAAAGATCGCATGAAACAATGTGTGTGTTGTGTGTGTGAGTGTTGGTTGTATGCTCCAGCTCCAGTGCGCATCCAGAGTTTAGTCAAACAAATCCAACTCCAACTCAACGGCAGCCAAATTAGGAAACGTAAAATAAACTGTAATTGAACAGATATGTAGATTGAAATAAACAAGTTAGCTGTGTTTGTATATATGTAGATAAATAGACACTTAATTCAGTCATAAACAAAGCATTCAATACAAAGAAATGGGTTATGGAGTGACAGCTCTGATTGCTGATGTATTTCGCTTACCCATTGCAATTTGAGCCTGGTTTTTGTTTTCTTCTATTTGTTGTTAATGGACAGACGTTCGACACTCGCGAGCAGCTCGTCCGCTGTCTGTGATACGACCTGCTCCTGATCATCGCTGGTGCTTAGATTTTGTAGACGCTTCTCGAGTGCCGACAGATCCTCCAGCTCCTGCTGCTGCTTGACCATGTAGCGCAATATAAGCGTGGTCAGCATGCACATATCTTCCAGGATCGTTGCTGTCTCCGGGGTGGGATGATCGTAGCGATTGCGCAGCAGTCGCAATTTAGCCTCCGCCAGTTCCAGCGGCGATTTACCGCTCCGATCATACATGTGAACGCTGGCGCCACCCTGCAGCAGGATACGCACAACCACATTGAAGTTATTTGAGCTGGCCGAAATGACGGCCAGGTGGAGCGGCGTATTACCCAGTGAGTCGACCACGTTCGGATTAGCTCCATACTTCAATAGCTGTTGCACAATGGGTATATAGCCCCGGCAGGCAGCCAAATGCAGTGGACTACGATTAAATTCATCGGCGGCATTTGGATTGCCGCCCGATTCCAGAATCCGATTGAGCAGCTCAATATTGCAGGTGGAGGCGGCGGTGCGCAGCTTGCGATTGTTTGACTCGGTCAATATGTTGTTGTAGCTGCAGTACATCAGTCGCTTCATGCGCGGGCGCATTTTAAAGCTCTTGCTGCTCGATGGCAGTGTGCTCGGATGTATCAAACTCGGCAGATAGTCAACGTTCAGCGGCAATGGCGGTAAATGGGGTAGCGCAAAATGTTCTCGCTCACCTCCTGCGCCGACCCCTCCCCCTCCTCCTCCTCCTCCTCCACTACCTATACCTCCACCACCTCTGCTATCTCTGGTCAGCTGGAATGTGTTCGCATTTGGATTCAGATTGGGCCATTCGCCGTGTGTGTTGGGCGACGATGTCGGCGTTGGTGGCATCACTGGTGGCGGTGGTGTTATCATAATGCCCTTCGACACGGGCATCGTGGGCATAGACATTATACTGGGCAGCTCTGATTCTTGTTCGATCGCTATTGCCGCTGGCACTGGCACTTCTTTGCCCGAGTCCACACGGTCATTGGACATGGCCGCTTGTCTGTGCGTGCGTGCGTATGTTTCTATTTACAAATTTATTGCGTAGCTTTTGCGTATGCACACATCAATTTTTTTATCTTTTTCTTCACGCGCTTCTTACTTTTGTCTGTATTGTTTGTATTTTTCTCGATTTTTTTCCTGTTTACATTTTGTGCGAGGTGCTGCCAACTTATCACGATTGGTGCTGCCAGCGCTTGCGCACCAGGTGGCAACGCTGCACTATTCTGTGAGTATCGCAAATCAACAAAAGCTCATTTCATCATTTAACCGATGAAATATTTCCATATTTTATATTCATTTAATATTTATTTAATATATTCATTTAATAATTTTTGTTGTATATATATTATTGGATAGAAAAAATCCTATTATTAAACACTTATAAATCTCATCCTTTATTAAATAATTTGTATTTAATACAATAATCTTGTTAAAATAACTATATTTTGATTATTAAACTTGTCCTTTAAGAAATCTTGACTAATGCATATGCTCAGAAAGTACATATGCATGTATGAAGCAATTGCTTCAAGGAAAACATTCATAAACTATGAAGAATATATCCATAATATTACATCAAAAACATTTATTCAAAATTCGTGCTCATCTATTTAAATTGCTATCAAAACGGCACGGAATGTTTAAATATACAATATATAATTCAATTAGCAAAAATCAAGTACATACATACAATAAATACGTGTATTAATAATACAGATTTTGGACACGAGGTTCAACATATCTAGATTTCTTAAACAATAACACAATATTTCCAAAACTTTAAATTATGCCTTGTATGGAATCCTATTTTTGGATTTTATTTGTTTAATTTCTGGCAACGGATTTTCGACTGGGTCAGTATGTTAAAAGAGTGGTGTGCGTAGTGTGTTTAGTTGTTTCTGTATGTGTGTATAGGTGTGTGTGTGGGTGGGTGTGTGATTTAGACCGCGGGAAAGGGTGCTGAGAAAAGTGTATAAAACAAATAAAGAAGATCAATACACAGCTGTGGTAAAATGTAAACTTTTGAAGCTAAATGCCAATTGTAGCGGTCTAAATCCGTCTTACGCGCTATTTCAAGAAATTGATCATCTCAATGATTTTGTTACGATTGGTGTGCATGTATGCCTTGGTGTGCCAAAGCATATTGATAAGCTTCTGATCGTTCTTCTCGTCCATGGCAATGTCCTCGCTCAGCTGCGGATTGAACCTAAAGTAAGGTATGCCAATGGTGCTGCACCAGGCGCGGGCGCGATCAACGACCCGTCCATCCGAGCAAGTGGCCTGGTCCACAAGCAGATTACCTGCAAGTTGGAGGCAGTCAATCAATAAACTGTTACAATTCATTAAAAAAACGTGTTGCTATTACCAATCGTAGATATGCCGTAAGCCAATTTAGCCGTATCCCAGATACTTTCAGGCCGGAATACATCAATATCCTTTAGTTCCGTGACGGGTATGTGACCCGTGCCAAGCGAAACAACCACTGAGACGGGCACAGCTTCTGCTTCGCGTCCAACACTACGCAGCGCCATGTTATATTCATGGATCTCAGTCATGGCATCCAATGTTGGATTATTGGCGATAAGTCCGCCGTCCAGGAAGCGTCCAAATGCACGGAAATATGATGGAGCTGCTCCAGTTGCACGAGCAGCACGCCACACTAGCTGTTCCTCAGGTTGTGGCGGCGGTATGCGTCGATTGCCTGGCAAAGTTCATCAATTGAAATGTGAATTAGATCCGAGATGAAGTGATTAATTTAATTTCATTGTTCTTACTTATGGAAGTCACAATGCCTAGTATATCACTGGCGCTGGTGTAGTTGCGGAACAGATGAAGATCGACGGGCTTACGATCTGCCATAACTCCAGTCACCATAATCTTGGGATGCTTAATATCTGTCATGACATTAAACTCGCCCAGATTATCCTTAAGTATTGCCTCGAAGTATTCGCTATTATACGGACGCGAGCCCACAAAGCATTGTTCCTTCATGCGTAGGTAGAG